CGGGGGGGGAGAGAGTGGGGAGGGAACCAGCTGGCGGAGAGCAGGGCTGGCCCGAGCCCGCACAGATCCTGGGGTGCTACCCATCCCACGCACAGTTCCAGCGGGGCACATGGGCAAGTCTGGCCCCGGGGATTCCATCCCGCCCTACCCCCGCCCCGCCCCGCTCCTCTCTACTGCATAGTTGCGTACTAGCCAGGCAGTATGCAACGATGTACTGATACTCATGATAATAAAACTTACTTAATTAGAAAATACCAGACATTTATATGTCTGGTATTTTCTCAATTTGTTTCCCAGAAAGTTCAAATACCGGACTGTCCAGTTCAAAACCAGACACCTGGCAACCCTAATGGTAACAGCATTTTTATTGTTGGTTTGATCTCTTTTGGCTACGTGCAGACATGGAGTGCAGGCGGCTTTCCCCCCTGCCTGTTTCTCTTGGGGGAAGCTAATCCGTTGTGCCTTTTCAACCAATGAGCCGTGTTCTGGCTGCCATCTTTTCTTTCTCCTGTTCTCTCGTGCTCTTCTGTCTCTTCCCTTTCCTTCTCTCTCTCTATTTCCCTCCTTTTCCAGCCTTCTAGGAAGTGGATGCCTGTAGGCCCAGCTGCTGCCTCCTGTATAGTTCGGGTGCACTGCACAGCAGCATCTCCATTACTTGCTTCTTAATAGACCAGATGGGATGGTGCTGCAGCCACTATTACACTGGTTGCTCAATTATGGGAGGAGGCAGCAGCAGTGTGGCAGCTGGGCCTGCAGGAGGAAGACTGAAGATGCTGGGAAGGGGAGAGGAAAAGGGAAAAGCTAGGGGAGAGTCCCCATTATATTTTTTGGTCCTGCTTGCCCCTCAAGGGCTAGGTTCTGAATGGCTCTGCAGCACCAAGATCAGAAGTGCAGCAGGCCCAGCTATGCTAGACCAGCATTTCTCTTCCAGGACCCAACCTGCAGCCTTCCTAAAAACCTGTGGCTTCAAGGAAGAAAAATCTCCCCCCTCCCCACAATAGATGTTGCTTATGATTACAGATTAGCCAGTCTGGAGCTATTAGATTGCTTGCAGTGTTGCTGCAGCCATGTCAATCTCAAGATAATATTTTGTATTAGTCCAACTTCTGTGGGTGACAGAGCCAAGCTTGCGAGTTAACGTCGAACCTGAAGAAGAGCTCTGCATAAGATCAAGCACATATCTCTCTCTCAGCTGAGCCGGTAGTAGATGTAATCTGGCCCACCTTGTCTCTGTATAATGTGATACTTTAATCCAGCCTTATCACTCATCACACAACATAAACGTCATGAATGTTTATGTCGTTATCACTGTACTAGAAAATGTTTTATGAGGGAAGACTGAAAGAACTGGGTTTGTTTAGTTTAGAAAAGAGAAGACCAGGAGGAGACATGATAGTGGTTTTCAAGTACAGAAAAGGGTGTTACAAGGAGGAAGGTGAAAAATTGTTCTCCTTGACCCCTGATGATAGGACAAGAAACAATAGGCTTAAATTGCAGCAAGAGAGGTTTAGGTTGGACATTGGGAAAAACTGTCAGGATGGTTAAACACTGGAATAAATTGCCTAGGGAGGCTGTGAAATCCCCATCACTGGAGATATTTAATAGGTTGGATAGACAGTGCTTGGTCCTGCCGTGAGGGCAGGGGACTGGACTCAGTGACCTCCCAAGGTCCCTGCCAGTTGTAGTATTCTAGGATTCTATGATTCTAAGAGCAAAATTTCACATTTGATCACTTTTATGCCCCCCAGGTACTGATTCAAACAGAGAAATGTGCTGCTCTCAGACATCTTCAATACTATGGCATCCGTTCTGCTATCCCTCATCCACATCAAAAATGTGTCAGTCACACAAGAGGAGAGCTCTTCAGCAGATTCTTATTTCAGTGATGGGATTATTCTTACATCTCCCCTCCTGCTCCCATGAAGATGTTATACAAAACATACCATTCCTGAAACAGGCTCCCTTCACCTAGAAATTTGCAGGCAAATTCTTGAGAAAGACAAAAACCAACTATCTGTAATGTGTGCATTTATATCATAATATACTTTTTTAAACTATGATATCTCTCTCTAAATTCAGTCACGGGGTTCCTTCGATAGCATTAGCTTTGACTAAGGGCCAGATTAAGATTTTAGTTATAAGAGACTCATGAGTAACCCCAATGACTTCAGCAATTATGATCCAAAATCTGAGCTGCCCCATCCCAGTAGTACAGGAAGAGGCTGTGCATAAGTAGCTTTGTGGCTCCTGAGTTCTGAACTGACCTGGAGCCAACTGAACCTCCAGTGTAAATCAGAGCCACCCCAGCGGCTGCTTATGGTGGATACTAACAGCCACCTGTGTGTTTGGACCACACACCCTTGCTGGTGCTGCCATGCCCTCCACTGTCCCACAGTGGCATATTGAGGGTGTTATCTGCCCAGGGGAAAGGCAAAATTTGTGCCCCCACTCCCACTGCATGTTTTAAAGAGGCAGCACCACATGGAGCCCAGGATCAGCTGGGGATTCCCTGTGGCGTTTCAAAGCAGCAAGGTGGCATGGAGCCTGGGGTCAGCAGGGGCGTCCTCAGCTGCTGCTGGGTTCCACAGGGCACTTTTGCCTTTCAAGTACAGCAACAACCCCCAGGGCATTTCGATCAACTAATCGACTATTTGATGAGTCAATTACTCGACATTTCACATCCCTAGTTTGAAGTGTGAGGAGGGGAGGATGATGAGCAACCCGCTGTAGCGATGGGTGGGAGGGTGCTGCTGGCAAGGGTAGCTGGGACCGGGCACATACCAGCTCAGCTGGAGCTAGTGCCCAAAGCCGGGCGTCACAGCCTCAGCCGTGGGTCAGGTGGGCCCCCAGCCTAGAGCCCAGGGCCAAGCAGGCTTGTGGTCGGGCCTCACCGCTGCTGCCCCCCCTGTGCCAGCACAGGCGAGACAGTGGCTGGGGGAGAGGGGGGGGGGGGG